GAAGGGTAGCACCACTCACAAACCTACTACGAAAGAACGTACCGTGGTCATGGGACATCGGGAAATCCAAAATCGTGAATGAAATAAAAGAAATTGTCTCCAGCCGACCCATTCTTGCCATTTATGACCCCAATTTAGAGACCGAACTCCATACTGATGCTAGTGCGATTGGCCTCAGAGGGATTTTAATACAAAAGTATCCTGAGGGTAAACAAGTGGTCGCGTATTACAGCCGTAAAACCTCCCCAGAAGAACAAAAGTACCACTCGTATGATCTCGAAACACTAGCGGTATTCGCAGCTCTTAAAGCATTTCGAGTTTATCTGTTGGGAATTAAGTTCACAGTAGTCACCGATTGCAGTGCAGTCCGAGCCACTGCAACGAAGAAAGACATCCAACCACGCGTCGCTCGTTGGTGGGTGTACATGCAAGATTACAACTTCGAAGTGGTGTATAGGCCGGGGGCTCAGGGGCAACACGTAGATTATTTGAGTCGAAACCCAATTGAATGTTCAGCCATAGATATTACAGAATCAGAATGGATAAAAGTAGCTCAAGCACAAGATCCCGACATTGAGGTTATTCGGAAAATTCTAGAATCCGGTATGAAAGAATCAGACACAAAGCAGTATTTCGAAAATTATGATTTAAGGAAAGGGGTAGTTTTCCGTAAAACTGAAGAAGGAAATCGGTGGTTAGTGCCACGTATGTCACGATTCCACATCGTTAGACTCTGTCACGACGAACAAGGTCATTTTGGTATTGACAAGACAATCGAGAAAGTAAAAGAGCAATATTGGTTAAAGTCCCCGAGACCCGTGGAGACTAGTTACAATCTCGAACGGTCACGCGGAGACTCAGAGAGCTCGAAATATTTCATCTCGAGTAGTCTACTGAAAATTCGTTTGTTGTCATCGATTCAGTGAATAAATGGAGGATTTTTTGTTGATAAATTTTATAGGAATAATCACGAACAATATTTGATAGAGAAATCAATATATTTTAATTTTTTCTAATCGATCTATTCGATCTTGTTGATATTTTCTCAGAGATATTCAGTACCAAACATTTGAGAAATTATTTTCCTGAATTTTCTAAGGTAACTTATAAAATTTGAATGTTAGAGAAATACCATTAAGCAACCAGATTTGAAATAATTTTTGAGGTGATTTTCAGGGCATTTTTTATGGAGAAATGAGAGCTAATCAGAGAAGAGCCCTGTATTTGAATAATCAGCGGAGATCGTGGAAATTTCGAACGATATATTGTTTGTTCTTTTACTTATTTTATTTCTTCAGAGTGAAGAAAAAAGTTTAAATAATTGATTTCAAGGTGTTCTTCAAATTACTAATATTTTTCTTCGTTATAGAGCTGGCCCGAAATTTTCTAACTGAAATAATAATCAATGTTTCATTCTGTAAGATTCGTAGCTTAATTCTGAGAGAGATTAATAATTTATCTTGATGAATTTTTATGTTTTTCTGCAGTAACAGAGAGCGACATTCACTACCAACGTCAACTGCTAGGAGCGATGGAAAAAGCTCTTGAGATGACAACTGGTCTGTATTTGAAACCGAGAGAACAATCAGATGTCTTTGAGGTGATGTGATACTTGCTTTATTGGAAATATTTTCATTGTAACACCATAATGATGAATTTGAAAAATTGAATTTGGTTGACAACAAGAATTACATTTTGACTCTTTCAATATTTTAATATTCCTTGGACTACCAATTTTCTAGATCCCTACACAATTTACAGAGCCTGGAGAATCTAAGGTATTAAAGCTTTGTATTATTAAACAAAATCAAACTTTTGTCTCTATCCATAAACTGATTTGAAATATTTCACAGGTGGAAATAGCCCCAGGTTCTGGGATTTATTTCCCATTATACAGGAAATGCAACATAGAGAATAACACAATTACCGATACTGGCTTTGATTGGAGTGCATTAGTTAAGGATGCACTGCTGGATATTTATGGTCATCATATAGCTGAGTTTTCTGCTAAAGTAAGCAGACGTGAGTCTAGAATGGGCATTTCTAAGAGAGATGCTTATGATGCTATATATCGTGAGTATTCAATCGCTTTTCTTGGAAGTCATAGGAAAATCTCATTCAAAGTTCCATTCTAATTTCCATTTCATTTCTTTTCAGGCTGGGCGAAGAGCATAAACAACCCATTCGAACCTCTTACTGATAATGTAGTCTCTACAGTCATAAATAATTTTGCCGCCAATAAGAGGAAGTATCAGAGGAAAGGTCCTCAAATAGTCCCTCTGAAGGATAGAGAGGAAATGGCTAACTCGGAAAGGAGGCAAAAACGTGAAGTCCTTGGTGTACACGAAGATTAGATATCTTCAAACACCGGTGAATTGGTGGAGAGGGACATTCAGGAAAGCAGAAGCCCCCCAGAATCTTCAGAGGCGAATCTTCTACCATCGACCCATCACCTTCAGCGGCAACCGATGACCCAAAATGATAAAGAGAATTCATCAACGCTAAAAAGACCCCTTGATAATGTCAGCAACTAAACGGACAACAAGATTATGAAGCGAATGGGAGATCCAATGGGACCATCAATACCATCTTCAGTCTTTAGTATGCCAAAAGATAATCAAAAACCTCCAGGTCAAAATGGTTGGCCCTACCAAGACATGAATTTGCAGTATCAGAATACTTTTTTACCTCAACCTCAACAACAGTGGTTCTCAGACTACTCACGGAGTTCGTTCAATCTCCAAGGTTACCCAACAACAGCACAGTACTGTACAAATGGGAATCAGTTTAATCCTAATTTTGAGTATCAAAATCATCCAAACCAACAAATGTTGGGACGAGCAACCAACTCAAATGGATCATATTTCTATCATCAGCAGGCACAGTCATTCTCACCTATGCAGAATGTGACACTATATACCCAGACTTCTATCCAATCAGTTGCCGGTAGCCACGAGAATTATGTAAACCAACAGTTGAATCCGACTGCTTCCACACCAACGCCATCTTCACTAGTGATAGCTCCAGATAATCAAACTCAGCCTAAGAATTCAACACCACCTACACCAGTGTTACTGTTATCGGCTTTTCCAGCTTCACAGTATGAAAGGCAACAACCGACACCTTCAGCAGGCACCACAACGACGCTCTCATTAACCCTCGAACGGGAACCCTCAACGCCACCAGTCCAGACATCCGCATCATGAGCTGACCGTCAGCGTATTTCACTTATTAATATATTTGCTTTGTTTTATTTAGTTGATAACATTTATATACTAGATTTTATGTAATTACTATCCTCCTTGTACTAACCATTTACAGTTTGTGATTGTATTGTCTTTCTTGTACAATGTCGTTCGTGGACAGCACTTACTAATTTTTGCAAAAAAATGTACTTTAACAATAACATTCAATGAATAAAAAAAAATTGTTATTGACATAAAATTCTATTTACTAAACGTTCGGGGAGAATGTTGTGTGAGGCGGGGGGGGGGGGGAGTGATATGGAGAATTGACGTTGAAGGGAGGTCGAATGTGCGTTCAGGTTCAACGTAGTTTCAACGTATGAAGTGGGGACTTTGGAAATAAAAGACGATATGTACATTCAAACCACGTTGAATCATTCATTGAACCCAAATAATTTCAACGTTCCTTCAACGTCATTACACCGCTCACTGAACGTTGAAAGTGGGTTGAAAAACCCGGTGAAATTTTGACTCCAGTGAATACTTCGATTTACAAAAATGTGCAAGAAAGCTCATTTTATCCGCCGATATTATTCGCTTTTGTCAATGAAGTAATCAATTGAAAGTACTGACATTATGTCATAAAAGTACTTGAGAAAAGTTCAAAAATTTCTTTTCACCAGTACTTTGGAACTTGTGAAAAGTACTAAAAGTACTTACAGAAAGTAGTGAAGCTTCCTCCTCCGAGTACTATTTCTACTTGATTGACAGCGGTGGTACTTCACTCAAGGATGCAAAAAGTATTTGGGACAAGTATTTTTCGAACTTTTCACAAGTTCGATAAGTTGATATTAGGGGGAAGTTCCCACAAATATCGGTCGGTACTAGTGAGAAGTACATTTTTCTTTGGGTGTATGCATGTCTCTGGGATTCGATATATTTATATATTAATATCAAATCGTCAAAATTGTGTATACCGTATTCAGAGCGTTCAGAAGATGTTGAGAGCTTGTGACCCTTATGTCTGACCTTTATTTTTGACTTTCATTTCTGACCCCCATGACCGTCAGTTTTAACTCTTATTTCTGGTTATAACTTTTGACCATGACTTCTGACCTTTGCGACCTTTATTTCAGACCTTCAGTTCTGATCCTTGGCTTTGACCCTTATTTTAGTTTATTAATGGATTCTCAACCAGTTTTGCCTGGCCGGACTTGGACAATTGAATGTCGTTAACACCTTATAGGAGATAAATAAGTTACAACCGGGTTGAGCTACATGAGTTAGTGGTCAGTGGTAAATTCATCTGCGACCGACAATGAAGTCTCCACTAGTCTTGTTACGCTTGAAACCTACGAGTTACACCCGAAAATTATTGCTGCAAGTTAAAAAACTAGGAATTTTGAACAATGTCCAATTCATGAAAAAAAATATCCTCGAATCAGGTATATAATATTCCGGAATCAGGAATATCTATATTTCAGACTATGGGATCTTTCTGAAATTGGTGCTTTCATCATCAAGAAATGCATTTTCTGTACTGGTTTTCACGATTTCTCGTCTGGGAATTGGTATTACATACTTCCCAAACTCGAAAACTTGAAAATCACTGCAGAAAAATATTGTTGCTGGGCTGTTGCGATGGAGTTTTTTACTCGTGTGGCGTTGGCCTCCGAGCCGTAGGCGAGGACTGGCCAACCACACGAGTAAAAAAACCCCATCGCAACAGGCCGGAAAAATACTATTATTATCAATCTTGACGTCGATTCGGTCTCCTTAAATATGCCTTCGTTGATGGTCAACAAATGCACCTGTAGAGAGCCTGGTTTGAGTCGATTTTTGTTTCTCAAATAAACCATTTGGTAACTATTAACCAATTTTCATTTGTTCATATTCAACTCTACCATCTGTTAATAGTTAATAAGCCTCTTTAACAATGAATGAATCATTCTATCCGTAATACGAAAATTCAATTGAATATAATGTTCAATTTTCCCAATGAGATTGAGGATGATCTTACCTCAAAAACTCCATTTCGTCTAATTTCCAAGATGAATAGCAAATTTTATGAACGATGCGATTTTTAATTGAATTCCAATCCATAACATTGAGAATTCAAATACAGTTATTATCTAAATTTCAAACAATTTCGGATAGTGCGGTCAGAGGCCTACATTTCTCTAACTGAAAGGCTACCGCGGGCAGGATGGCAATCATAAAAAAAATCTACGTTTAAACTTTATGTTCAAGACTTTTCATATATACTTTGTTGTTCTCTATCATCAAAGAAGTCTAATGTATGGGAGGTATCTAGGGTAGGCCAACCAATTACTTCAAATTTGGAATAAGGTTATTCGCATTCTCAACCTAATGAGAAATCGATTCCATGAAAAAAATGAGGTCATAGGATATTCAAGCATGAGTATTTTTTACGCCATTTGCATTGTTTCTAAGAAAGAAATGTTTGAAGGAGAAGAATATATTGCATTATAAAATTTTAACAGCACCAATTATCCCTGAACTCCTCAACAGATCTCTCGTATCATGTGATAGAAAAGCAGAGTTTACACGGAGAGAATTAAATAGTAAATATTACCATGGCCATAGGAGAGATTACTATGGGCACATAGTAAAAGGGTTTTCAACTGTCCCTACATAGTAATGCTTACTATGTCTCATGGTAATGCGCACTATGTCCGATAGTAATGGTTACTATGTTACATAGGAATGCCTACCATGTCCATAAAAATGGTTACCATGTGAATGGAAAATGGTCCTGTAAATATAGAAAGTATCTCTAAAATGATCGGTTGAAATTCGCCATTGCCTCTTGACGCGTTCATAAACTCAAGACGCTTAAGGCTTAAACTCTTTAAAAAAATAAAAAATGAAATTTTCCTATTAAATTCTACAATATTTTTATTCGAAATTTATATATTCATAAAAATAATACAGCTCCAACTGTATGGAATCAATAGTGCATTCATTAGAAGTGGATAATCAATTAGAAATAAACAATTTATTTGATACAAACATAGAATTATTACACATCAATAAAGTCTTTTCCTTCGCCATCTAGACAATGAGTGTACATTTCTAACTAATAAAGTTTTTACTTGTATGAAGAAAGCTTATGTTTAAATTTATAAAACTATTCATTTGATATTAATAAAAATGCAACTGTATTTAATTTAGATTTTAATGGGCTTTATTAGGAGCTCTCTGATTAAATTCATTATTTCAATTATGTTTCATTTAGAAACATAATTTCTCTTTTAGATGGTCCTTATAACAAGATAATTTTAGTTCTTGAATTAATGATATTTCTGTGTCTAACATTGATCTACTCTTGTTTCATTCCAAGATCATATTTAATGCTTTAGAATAATTTCATTATGCGTGATAGGACATTTTACGTACTATAGGGAGCTCTACTATGTAACGTAGTAAAGCTTGCTATGTCCCATAGTAACCATTACGATATTCCCTGGTAGCCATTACCACGTCCATAGTAATACTTACAAAACTTTGGTAATGTTTACTATGTGTGGATTCTGACATGGTAAGCTTTACTATTTTATTTTTTCCGTGCATAATAAAATTTCGAAATCTATAGTTCATCATTATTGAAAAGATCATCGTGAACCTGTAAGTGCTATTGGATTACCGTTACCTCATAGTATATACACTAACGGAAGGGTTTAGTCGTTGTTAACAAGGCTTCTTAACTATTAACACATTTCCTGAATAGTTAACGAATGGCATTAATAGTTAAGAAGTCTTGATAATAGCAACTAAACCCTTCCACCTTTTCTATCAGTGTACGAATTGTGAGTGGAGTAGGCCAGTGAGGTGATGTCTGTACCTGTCGTGGGTGTGAGACACTAACAGATGGTACGTTTCAATTTCAATGGTTCAATTATTGATTTCGATTATACACTGATAGAATGATTCATTTATTCAAACGAGATTCGTTAACTATTAACGAATGGTAGAGTTGAATATGACCAAATGAATATTCGTTAATAGTTAACGAATGGTTCACTTGAATGGCGAAAGTCAAGTCAAACAAGGCTCCTCAAATATACGTTCGTTAACTATTAACGAATGAATTTGGCGAGACCGAATAGACCCTAACCTCCGACTAAAATCCATTCGTTAACAATAACTAATCCGTTCTATCAGTGTAGCTAGATACAATAAGAATGCAAAATTTATGTTTCTAAAAATGTCACGCCGATCATTTTGCGAATATTTGGAAAACTAGAAGACTTGGAGGAAAATGTTGAGATGCTTTCTGATCAGAAAAGTTATCTCCAAAAAATATCTTCTAACATGAAAAAGAATGGGTCATTTTGATTTCAAACATTCGTCTTCAATTGAAAATTTGAAATATACCCAAAAAACTTCTTGAATCACGTTGATTCAAGGGCGAGTGCAATTGGTCTTTTACTTGCGTGGAGTTGGCGTCCGAGCCGACGACGAGACCCACTATGCGAGTAAAAACCCCCATGGCAGTAGTCGCGAACGACATTTTTCCGTAGTAATTTCCATTTTTACGAGTTTGGGGAAGGGCCAATACCAATCCCCAGAGGAGGAAAAGTGAAGGCCAGCACGGAAAAGAACTTTTCCAGTGCGTATGATTGAATCCCATATTACCCAGAAAAGTTTTAGGCCTTATGGCAAAATGCACTAATGATGCAACGTTGATTTATTAAAATGAAAGAATAAAATAATTAGAGGGATCAAGCGGGAGGGATGGCCGGAGTAGCCAGAAGGGTCAAGCATTCTTATACAATTTGAATTTCTCTTCATTAGTAACTTTATTTAATTAATTTTACATTATATCAATTTACAATTGCATTTATTAAATTTCTCAGTTTACATCTACCTTAAACTAATTTGCTGGCCAGCAATCCTTACTCTCTATGCAATAAATTTCTATCTAACCTACTATTATTCTACCTAATACCTAAGTAACCTTCTCTTGGAGATAATCGTCAGAGGACGAGGTCCAGAAG